AACGTTGTTAAACATCTTTGTGATAGAGAGGGAGACAGGAAATTTTTTAATGATTTGCAAGATTATGATGATTGCACATGCATTCTAATTTCTCTGTAGTGTACGTCCGTGTAACGGTTGTTTTAAGTTTATCAGCACATATTAGGGTTAATCTTTTTTTTTTTAATCGGAATGATAACTTTGATAACTTCTTTGATATTAATCTTGTAAGATTCGCCCGTGATGAGGTGAAGAGTATCAAAAATTTAAATGATTTCAAGTACAAATGAATTTTTTTTTTTTTTTTGAAAAAAAAAGGTATATATATGAAAATAAAGGTGAATTGCTTAAAAGGAATAAACGATTTTCAAGCTAAAAAAAAAAAAAGTGTATTGTTAAACTTAAACATGCATTGTGTCACATGACCTTGGCGGAGAATTGCGTATGTATTACGCTATATTTGTAGTTTGGTCTGCTGACCATATGGATAATTATTGTTGATAACTTTATAAATATACCCTGTGTCAGATTGCTATCTGATATCATCTGTTAACCTCTCTCGAATGACTAAAACACATAACTTTAATAGTAACACGTCTTATGATACATCTTTATGCGATAATAATGTAAACAAATCACAGGCTAGTTGGCTTCGCGATGCTATGGCCCGTGAGCATCAAAAATTCTGTTCTTCTGTCCTTAAATCTTTAAAAAATCATCCATCGGCAGTTCCTTTTCTTGAACCAGTTGATCCGGCAAAGTACGGGATCACCGATTACTTTGATATTATTAAGAAACCTATGGATCTAGGAACCGTCGAAAAAAAATTAAATAATTATGAATACTCTACTGTTCTTGCTTTTGTACAAGATGTCAGGCAAATATTTGCCAATTGTATCATGTATAACGGTACAACACATGCATTTTCCGTTTTCGCAAAGGATCTTGACAATTTGTTTAATCAGATGCTTAGTAAAATGCCTGGAGTGAAGGAAGAACCTACCGTTAAGACAGAGCCTTCTAACGTATCTGACTCTAAGATTTGTCTTTCTGGAGAGTCATTGGCGAGTAAAGCACCCGTTGAATCGATAAATCGACCAAAGAGGACCATCAAAGCACCCTCTAAAGATTTACCTGAGGCTCCTTCGGTTAAACGTAAAAAAAGTAAATTAAATCAGGAACTCAGTTTTTGTCGTGATGTGATCAGGGAGTTACGTAAAAAAGTTCATTGGGCTTATGCTTATCCTTTTTACGAACCCGTCGACGCCGAAAAATTAGGTGTTCCTGATTATTATAATATTATATCAAATCCTATGGATCTTTCTACAATAAATAGGAGGTTAGAAAGCGGACAGTATTCAAATACTGATGAGTTTGAGTCAGATATCCGTTTAATGTTTCAAAATTGTTATACGTATAATGGAAGGGGTTCTGAGGTATATAATATGGGGAAGATGCTTGAAGCTGTATTTGATAAGAAATGGTCAGAGAAACCTATTATTCCTCAATATCGACGACAAATGAAAGTTGAAGATTTTTCAGAGTCAAATAGTTCATCAGATAATGATGAAAGTGATGATCACAGTGATCACATAAGAGCTCTACAGTTACATTTAGAGGCTTTGTCATCAGAAATTTCTCAGATAACAAAGAAACGTAAACCATCCAAATTTAAGAAAAAACACGGTTCTAAAAAGAGCACTTTTGCTCCCTCAGCAGGAACAGGTAAAAAATCACTGAAGCGTCCTAAAACAGAAGCTAAAAAATCGTTAAAAACACCTCGA